GCAGTCGGCAGGCAGCAGAAGTAGCCTGCAGTACTGCACTTTACCCACTGTGCCACTGTGGCTCATAAACACATGTTTACATGTAACCTATATGTCAGCAGTTTGCTGTTAGGTTTTCAGTGAGTATAAAGCCAGTGTTTTGTACCACAAAATCTATACATTCCATAATATTTGCCTTCTATATCAGCTGACTGTTGCGTTTCCTAATCGTCATACCATCCCTTCTATAGTTCAGGTGAAAATTCATGTTGCTTTCTGGGTTTTTCCCTTCTCGTACAGGATCTGACTGCTTTAGCAAAAGAACTGCGGGAACTGCGGATTGAAGAAACCAACCGGCCTTTAAAGAAAGTTACCGATTATTCCTCTTCCAGTGAGGAGTCTGAAAGCAGCGAAGAGGAGGAAGAAGACGGAGAAAGTGAAACACAAGATGGCACTGTGCCCGTCAGCGACATCCCACGGCTTATGTAAGACATCCTCTCTTGGTGAAGATAAACCCACAAATGCATCTCATTTGGAATTGCTGGTTGCAATAATGTTTTATAGACATTACAAACATGGCGGCCCCCAAACTTTTTGGGGGACCTGGAACTGGTTCGATGGAAAGAAGTTTTTCCACAGACCGGTGGGTTTTGTATGCTGCCTGCATCCCATTGGCTGGAGTTTAACTGGTTTGCACGGCCCAGTTTTTGCCATGCTGCGGCCTGGTGCCAGTCCATAGATCAGGGGTTGGAGACCTCTGCTGTAGACTATTGCTGAAAAAAGCCACACACACACACCCATAATGTATACAAAGCCAGAGGTGGGATTTGGAGGTTTTCCAAACCGGCCATAATGTTAGCTACGGTTCTCCCGAATCCAGGTGAACCCTGGATGTAGATGAGCAAAATGGCGGTCTATAGTCACATAGGACCCCCATGCCTCCTTTTTTGTGGTTTCTGGAACTACTTCTGAAGCCAATTACTTGGAGTAGAGTGGCTGGTTTTCTATCCTTTTGAAGTGAGAGATGTAACAAAATAGTTCTGTAAGCTGTAAAGAGGCTTCTCTGAATCAGTCAATCAATATCCCTTCCTCTCAATTCTTCTCCCTTAAAAAAAAACAATGGGAATGCCCATAGATATACCCTGACCAGTGGTGGGATTCNTCGTTTAATTAAACCTATTGTGCTTTTTATTTTTGCCCTACTGCTTTCCGTTGTGTGGCCATGAAAGCATGTAAGATTACAATAAATATCTCCGTATAGTTCTTACAACTTTTTGTCTCAAAACAACACTATTAAGATATAAATGGGGAACCTTAAATGGTGTATTAACTAGAAAATTCTTTGTGTCTAGTAATCTAGGTTCTAGCATTACGATTCATGGCCAATTTTGCATATGTATACATGCACATCACATGCACATATTGTAAAATATGCACTCTGCCTATATCTTTTGTATGTCATTGTGCATAGCAATAGCAATAGCACTTAGATTTATATACTGCTTTACAGTGCTTTATAGCCCTCTCTAAGCAATTTACAGAGTCAACCTATTGCCCCCAACAATCTGGGTCCTCATTTTACCCACCTCGGAAGGCTGGAAGGCTGAGTCAACCTTGAGCCTGGTGGTATTAGAACTGCCAAATTGCAGTCAGCCGGCAGTCAGCACAAGTAGCCTGAAGTACTGCACTCTAGCCACTCCCCACCAAGACTCTGCATGAGTCAAGCTATCATGTGAGCTTTACATATACTGTACATTGTTAGTGATGATCATAGATAAGGAACCCACTTGATACGTTGCACTGAATTTCTAGAGAAATGGATAGAAAGAGGTCAACATGCCTGCATGGGAAACATAATAGCCAACGTTAGTTCAGTTAGCATAATCTAAAGTCCGTGGTACTTGGTCATGGCTGACCGCATGCACTTCAATTCCTCTTAAATGTGTTTAAGTGGAAGACATTTGGGGATCACCCAAAATGTATATTTGGAATCAATACCATTCTGAGATGCCATTGTTCCCAGTTTACTGTGATGACGACTGCATTCTTGTCGCTGCTATAGCTGTGAATAGATTTAGGTGTGCTAAATCTATCATAATGAGCTTGTTTGTGTGCTATGACATTATCATGCAGATGACACAAGTTCATTTGTGTCATTTGCATGACATAATGTTCAAGATGTCATTTTCCCCTTCCCTTGCTGGTCTTGAACATGTCCATAGAAGGCTATAATAGCAATACCACTTATATACCGCTTTACAGTGCTTTACAGTCCTCTCTAAGTGGTTTACAGAGTCAGCATATTGCCCTCAACAATTTGGGTCCTCATTTTATCCGCCTTGGAAGGATGGAAGGCTGAGTCCACCTTGAGCCTGGTGAGATTTGAATTGCCAAATTGCTAGCAGTCGGCAGGCAGCAGAAGTAGCCTGCAGTACTGCACTTTACCCACTGTGCCACTGTGGCTCATAAACACATGTTTACATGTAACCTATATGTCAGCAGTTTGCTGTTAGGTTTTCAGTGAGTATAAAGCCAGTGTTTTGTACCACAAAATCTATACATTCCATAATATTTGCCTTCTATATCAGCTGACTGTTGCGTTTCCTAATCGTCATACCATCCCTTCTATAGTTCAGGTGAAAATTCATGTTGCTTTCTGGGTTTTTCCCTTCTCGTACAGGATCTGACTGCTTTAGCAAAAGAACTGCGGGAACTGCGGATTGAAGAAACCAACCGGCCTTTAAAGAAAGTTACCGATTATTCCTCTTCCAGTGAGGAGTCTGAAAGCAGCGAAGAGGAGGAAGAAGACGGAGAAAGTGAAACACAAGATGGCACTGTGCCCGTCAGCGACATCCCACGGCTTATGTAAGACATCCTCTCTTGGTGAAGATAAACCCACAAATGCATCTCATTTGGAATTGCTGGTTGCAATAATGTTTTATAGACATTACAAACATGGCGGCCCCCAAACTTTTTGGGGGACCTGGAACTGGTTCGATGGAAAGAAGTTTTTCCACAGACCGGTGGGTTTTGTATGCTGCCTGCATCCCATTGGCTGGAGTTTAACTGGTTTGCACGGCCCAGTTTTTGCCATGCTGCGGCCTGGTGCCAGTCCATAGATCAGGGGTTGGAGACCTCTGCTGTAGACTATTGCTGAAAAAAGCCACACACACACACCCATAATGTATACAAAGCCAGAGGTGGGATTTGGAGGTTTTCCAAACCGGCCATAATGTTAGCTACGGTTCTCCCGAATCCAGGTGAACCCTGGATGTAGATGAGCAAAATGGCGGTCTATAGTCACATAGGACCCCCATGCCTCCTTTTTTGTGGTTTCTGGAACTACTTCTGAAGCCAATTACTTGGAGTAGAGTGGCTGGTTTTCTATCCTTTTGAAGTGAGAGATGTAACAAAATAGTTCTGTAAGCTGTAAAGAGGCTTCTCTGAATCAGTCAATCAATATCCCTTCCTCTCAATTCTTCTCCCTTAAAAAAAAACAATGGGAATGCCCATAGATATACCCTGACCAGTGGTGGGATTCTTTTTTTTTTTACTGCTGGTTCTGTGGGCGTGGCTTGGTAGGCAAGGCTTGGTGGGCGTGGCAAGGGAAGGATACTGTAAAATATCCATTCCCACCCCATTCCAAGGGAAAGTTACTGTAAAATCTCCATTTCCTCCTGATCAGCTGGGACTCAGGAGACAGAGAATAGATGGTGGCGGGGCCAGTCAGAGGTGGGATTTACCGGTTCTCCGAACTACTCAAAATTTCTGGTACCAGTTCTCCAGAACTGGGTAGAACTTGCTGAATACCACCTCTGATCCTGACTCTGTCTGCTTTACATCATTCCTCCATCCCCTATTGCAGCCCTCCTGCTTCCAAAATGCATTAAGTGCAAGCATCAGCCACCAAAGTTATTCCTCCTTCTAATGCAGATCTAGGCATTTTATGGACCACAGGTTATATCTGGCCCTTCGGCTGTCCCTGTCTGGCCTGCAGTGGCGGGGTGGGGATGGCAAGACTGTAAGAGTAGTAGCGGTGATGGCAATGATCCTTAACTGTCCCAGTTTGTCATGCGACTACTTGGGAAAGTGAATTGGCCACCAATGATATAAGGTTCATTGAGCAAGTTAGCTGAATTCTTGGAAGACCTAGCTCTCCAAGCCCTACATTTCCACCTTGAAGTGAAGTTCCTAATGCAATATTTATGAAATCAAGAATTTGGGCTCCACAAAGTGTATTCTTTATGTAGCAACAGTCAATCCTGTCTGTCAATGGAATGTATTTCTCTAATACATTCTTTCTCATTCGCATACTGAAGAATTTGGGAATGGATCTTTTGAAGAATCCCCGAATTATTTTGTTTTTAAAAAAGAACGCTCTCTGAAGTCTTCTGTATTTCAAATATAGAGATTGTTACTTTATTTGGCAGGCAACACCTTTAATATTTGAACATGTCGTTGCCATTTGCATCTACACACACTTCAGCGATTTCTTGAAATTCTGAAGGCGGACCAAATTCAACAGTCCATCCGGTTCATGATCAGAGCATCGTTTAATTTATCTTTCTATAAATGTTATCTAGGTCAATATCTGCCTTCAGGCAGAAACATGCAGCTGTTGCTTATTTTCATTAGTCAACCAAAAGCATATGGCTCAGGTTTAGGCAGTTAGTTTGTTTGCATTCTGCTTAATGTGGTGAAAAATATTCTGTATTGCAATTTTACGTTGGAGAGCTGTCAAAAATAAAAATGGCCTGGTTGGGACGTATGCACTTGACAATAATGCTAGCCGAGGGAATAACTTTGAAAATAGCCTATTTGTGGCAAGAACTGCCTACCTGAAATTTAGTCATATAACATTAAATTCCTTATCCCTAATCCCATTCATCTTGCTTCTTCTGAAGGCAAGAAGAATCTCATAATATGAATTATAATGGTACGATGAATACTTGAAACTATTACAATATTGGGGATCAAAATAGATATGATGATGGATGTGGGTGCCCCATCACTGGAGGTTTTTAAGAAGAAATTGGACAACCATTTGTCTGAAATGGTATAGGGTTTCCTGATTGAGCAGAGGGTTGGACTATAAGACCTCCAAGATCCCATCTACCACCGGCAAGGTTAGCAAAGATGTTCCAAAACATGTCCGCCAAATGTTGGAAATGTAATCAGACACCGGGCACATATTATCATGTGGTAGACATGTGCAAAGACAAAAAAAAAACATGGACAAAAATGCACACAAGGTTAGAAAAAAATGTTAAAGCAACATATAGATTTGTAAGCCAGAAATATTTTTGTTAGCATAGTAACCGAAAAGTATGAATAAAGGGAATATATACTTACTATTGCATGTCTTGACAGCAGCAAGAATTGTATTTGCACAGCACTGGAAAAATGAGGAAATACCTACAGAAGAGAGCGTAATTTAAAAACATACTAGATTGTGCAGAAATGGATAGGTTGACCTTAAAGATAAAGAATAAAGAAGATACGGAATATTTTCTACCATGGAACTTGTTTTATCAATGCTTGATAGCAGAACTAGAGTTTAGAAATTGGATAAATATTAATATGTATAAGGAAGTTGACCCAGACAATACACTGTTCACAAAGCACTTATTCATGTAAAAGAAAAATGTATAAACAAACAAACAAACAAAGACCTTCAAGGTCCCTTTCGGCTCTGTTATTCTGTTACTGCAATCAAAACTCCTTTATATAGGAGCACAATAGCTGTGCGTGAATGAAAGCTACAGCTTTGATTGTGATGCAGTGACCAAGCACCAGACCAACTCCCGGCTTCCCTGTAGATGCTGCTCCTGGATACCCAGGTATGCCTGAAGGAGTTTTCAGCATCAACTGGGTGAGCACATGTGCTCTGATGTTTAGAGTAAAAGACGGATAACATTGGATACAAGTTTCCCATTTAGAGAGGCATGCTGCAATTCCCCTCTTTTTCTCCTTGAAGTTTGTTCAGAAAATACATTTCATGGAGTGGTCAGAGTTTTATATTATTAGAATGTGACAGGAAGAAGCACAGGATGAATCGAAAATGTAATGTCAAGCTTCGTGTTTCCCTTCCCCCCCCCCCCAAAAAAAAAGGAACACAAGTTTAGGATCAGAATCTATCCCTGTAGAATTGTTTTGTCAGGCAATAGATACCAAGAATGAGAGAGACCGGCATTTTGGGAACATGAGGAAGAATCCTTTAGCTTCTGATCCTGATTTTCTTAAATCTTGGCAATTACAAATCTTTTAAGGTTACTTTATTTTTCTGTAGTCGTCCATGTATTTATCACGAGAAACCAACTGCTCTCTTTTCGTTTTGAAAACTCTTATTTTTCAGACCAACGGGAATGCCGGCCAACAATGAGTCCTACAATCTAGGAATGGTATCGAGCCATGGTGGTCTGGAGCCCCCCCACCCTGACAAATTTAGCAGTATTTCAAGAGAAGGGACTTTAATGATAAGGGAGGTAAGTGGGTGGCAACAATTTCTTCTCTGCAGTGTCTTTGAGAGATAATGTCTTCGTAGGCTAAGAATAATAATTACACTGTGTATTCTGAGCACAGAGTGATTGATTAAACTGTGCTGGTTTGCAGCTGATTAATATAATTATAACATCTAAACAAAAGATGTCTCTTCACTATAAACAGCACCGAATGCTGTAGGACATAGCAAGGTTGTTTTCAGATCTTCATCTTCCTTCAAACTGACTTTTAAAGCATGCAATTTGCACACAATGGATATTGTAAAAGTGAAACAGAAACTTGGTTCACATACTACAAGTAGTCCTCGACTTATAACTGTTCATTTAATGACCATTCAAAGTTGCAACAGCACTAAAAAAAAGTAACTTATGACCATTTTTCACAGTTACAACTTTTGTAGCATCCCCATGGTCATGTGATCAAAATTCAGATGCTTGGCAAGCAGTTCATACTTACGACCATTGCTGTGTCCCGAAGTCATGTAGTCACCTTTTGCGACCTTTTGACAAGCCAACCTGGGGAAGCCAGGTTCACTTAACAACCGAGTTACTAAGTTATCAACTCCAGTGATTCACTTAACAACTGTAGCAAGAAAGGTCCCAAAATGGGGCAAAACTCACTTAACAAGAGTTTCACTTAACAATAGAAATTTTGGTCTCAAAAAATCGTGGATTGCCTGTATATGGAAGAGATTCTCAGTTGCTAATTTAGATTAATTATAATTCTTATCATACCAATTATTATATCTTGGTCTATATTCAGAAAAGAGAAGGAAGACCCTCTCTAAAAGTCAGTGGTGAAAAATACATCTGTGGGGATTTTTTAGAAACATAATAGGGACTGAATAACATAACAGAGCTTCTTGGATGAGAAGTGAAATGTCTTCAGAGAAAAACCAGAAAGACCAGTTGCCTCTTGAAAAAAGCACCTTTGGGACAACCATGATCTGGATGACTGAGAATCTCCATGGACATAATAGGGACAAGACAATTGCACTAATGTAACAAAGGAGCACTTCAGTAAAAGTGATTGAGGCAAAGCTACAACTCTTTGTGGGATGCCATAATTAATATCCTGCCATTGACAGATGAATTTTATATCTGGCAGATCATGATAGCAATAGCACTTAGACTTATATACCCCTTTACGGTGCTTTACAGCCCAATCTAAGTGGTTTACAGAGTCAGCATATTGCCTCCAACAATTTGGGTCCTCATATGATGATATGATTATGATACGCAGTGGCTCAGTGGCTAAGACGCTGAGCTTGTTGATCAGAAAGGTCAGAGGTTTGGTGGTTCGAAGCCCTAGTGCCGCGTAATGGAGTGAGCTCCTGTTACTTGTCCCAGCTTCTACCAACCTCGCAGTTCGAAAGCATGTAAAAATGCAAGTAGAAAAATAGGAAAAATCTTTGGTGGGAAGGTAACAGTGTTCCGTGCGCCTTTGGCGTTTAGTCATGCCGCCCACATGACCACAGAGACATCTTCGGACAGCGCTGGCTTTTTGGCTTTGAAACGGAGATGAGCACTGCCCCCTAGAGTTGGGAACGACTAGCACATATGTGCAAGAGGAACCTTTACCTTTATGATGATAAGGAACTGCACTAAACATTGTCCCAAAGATGTGTTTCCAAAAGGCAACTGGATTTTCTTGTTGTTTTTTTTCCTTTGAAATTTTTTTTTCTTCTCATCCAAAAAGCTGCTTCAGTTATTCTTCGGTTCTAGAACTGAAGCAGCTACTTGGAGGAGAAAAGGAAATATTTTCAAGCACCTTTAGGACAACCATGAGCTGGGTGATTGAGAATTTCCATAGGCATTGGCACCAAACGTCATTTTGCTCAGGCTGCTTCCTGCTAAAATGTTTCCTCCTGGAGAAATAATACTGCTGTCCTCTCTTTGTATAAAAAGAGTAGGTTTGCTTGATGATACTGTCAAGACAAAAAGGTCAGATTGTAGGAGGCAATTGAAGGCAGGATAATTTAGCTAAGGGTATGAGCCAGCCCATATTCTGTCTTGTTTTGTCCCACGGGAAAACACATTGATTCAGATCCACTCTCTTTTGTCCCATTCCATCTTTCATTCATGAGTTAGAGCCATTCCTCCCTCTTTTCTCTTCCTTCAAAACCTTACCTATACACCAGTGGTGGGTTCCGGATCCCGTTCCAACCGGTACCGTTGGAACGGGCCCTGCGGCGTCCACATGGATGCATCCACATGGGTGCGCGCAGTGCACGCGCACCGTTACAGCATGCACACATGCATGCAGTGCGTGCATGTGGCTTAGCACCTCCGCCAGCCTCCACATGCTCATGCGGGGAAGTGCCGAAGACTTAAAAGACCGGTAAGGAGCTCGGGCGGGCAGGTGGCCCCTCCGGAGCACCGTACCAGAATGGTATCTGGTGCTCTGGCCAGGCTCCGGTACGCCTGTACCGCCTGCAACCCACCACTGCTATACACCGTGAAAACAATCTTGGGAAACAGAAAGTCCATCTATCTTCTTTTTCTTAAGCCATATGTCTGAACAAGTAGAAGAAGATGATTCATGGTCAGAACTCCCATCTTAAGAAAAAAAGGACAGCATCCAAACAATAAAGGCTAGATCAGCGTATCCGTCACAAGTATACCTGACATCTTACATGAAGATCACCAGCACTGTCCAGTAATCATCTGTGGTATTAAATGACCCAGTTCCCTTTGTGAGGAAGTAGTAATGTTGTTTATTGTTAAAGCCAGCTATAGTTTCTTTTTTAGAAGCAAGTATGGGGTGTTCACAGCTAATTTTATTTCTGGTACAGTGACAGCATTATCAGTTCTTGTCATATTCTATTGTCTTAGAGACGAAAACACATGAAGAGCGGTTACAGCAACTGGGTAGGGAAAGTCTAGTGAAGAGAAGGACCAGGAGAGACATGATAGCAGTGTTCCAGTATTTGAGGGGCTGCCATAAAGAGGAAGGGGTCAAACTATTTTCCAAGGCATACAAAGGCCAGACAAGGAATAATGGATGGAAACTGACCAAGGAGAGATTCAACCTAGAAATAGGGGTCAAGCTATTTTCCAAGGCACCCGAAGTCCAGACAAGGAATAATGGATGGAAACTGACCAAGGAGAGATTCAACCTAGAAATAAAGGAGAAATTTTCTGACAATCAACCAGTGGAACAGCTTGCCTTCTCAAGTTGTGGGAGCTTCATCACTGGAGGTTTTCAAGAAGAGATTGGACTGCCATTTGTCAGAAATGATGTAGGGTCTTCTGCTTGGGCAGTGGGTTGGACTAGATGACCTACAAGGTCCCTTCCAGTTCTATTAATCTGTTATATCTGTCTTTTCATTGCGGGGGCAGGAGCTAGAATGATCACAGGGTATTTCTCTGTACAGAGTACATGTCCATGCAATTGTCAAGCTATCACTGGCACTTTTTCTACTTCGGAAATCCCTCAAAGTGGTTATAACAGGCACATCTTCCAGGGCTCACAGATTATGTTTAAACATCTATTTTCACCGTGTGACCTGGAAATGCACAGGTAAACATGGAATAGAGCATCTATAATGGGAAGGAGAAAATATAGGTGCAAAATTGCCACCTAAATAGTAGTTTTAGACATCTTAGATAGATTTTCAATCTAGATTCTCTGATTGTGTCAATATAATCATATTCCAAGCATTAAATGGTCATTCCCAGATGCAGTTTAGTAATAGAACTAGAACTAGCTTTGCTGGCTGAGGAATGCTGGGAATTGAAGTCCAGAAGTCTTAAAGTTGCCAAGGTTGGAGACCCCTATCCTAGAAAATGTAAGTTCTAGTATTTTCCTCCTCTGGATCTCATTGGCAGCACCTCATGTTTTAAGGTCTGCTGATAAAAGACCTGCTATTAAACACTCTCTATGAAAGTCTTCTACTTTACAAATCCTTTTTCCTCTTTAAAATATGATTCTTGTGCAAACTAGACATAAGATACTGACATAATCCAGATGATAGTGGAGAAAGTCTCCCAACCTTTTGACATAAATGTGAGCTGTACCAAAATAGTACAGTAGGAAGGGCAATGTAGTGAGCTGGCTTCTTTTCTTTCTTTTCTTCTTTCTTTCTTTTTTTCTTTCTTTCTTTCTGCCTTTCCTTCTTTCTTTCATTTTTCTTTCCTTTATTCTGTCTTTCTCTTTCTTTCCTCCATTCCCTCCCTCATTTTCTTTCATTCTTTCCTTCATTTTCTTTCTTTATTGATTTTCTTTTCTTTGTTTTCTTTCTTTCTTCCCTCTTTCCTTCTTTCTTTCCTTTTCTTTCCTTCATTCTATCTTTTTTCTTTCCTTCATTTTCTTTCTTTCCTTCATTTTCTTTATTGATTTTCTTTTCTTTGTTTTCTTTCTTTCTTCCCTCTTTCCTTCTTTCTTTCCTTTTCTTTCCTTCATTCTATCTTTTTTCTTTCCTTCATTTTCTTTCTTTCCTTCATTTTCTTTATTGATTTTCTTTTCTTTGTTTTCTTTCTTTATTCCCTCTTTCCTTCTTTCTTTCCTTTTCTTTCCTTCATTCTATCTTTTTTCTTTCCTTCATTTTCTTTCTTTCCTTCATTTTCTTTATTGATTTTCTTTTCTTCATTTTCTTTCTTTCTTTCTTTCTTTCTTTCTTTCTTTCTTT